TGCCTACTGAAGTTAAAATTACATCTGTAATATTTAGTTACATCTCATAAATTCTAAGGGCTGTACTAGGAGTAACATGAATGAAACCTTAATTCTTGAATAGTCTTTGTTTATCCCTGATGAGGGGTGTAAAGGGGGGGGGGGGGGGGTATCTGCACGGAAGAACGCAAAATAAAATTGCCATTTCACGATGAACAAACAATTAAAAATTTCTTGTTCTTGCACATTGATCTTTTTACCGATTTCACGAAACATGGTGAATAACGAACCTTTTTCACGGCTGCACCTGGAATAAAAATGGCAAAACACGTTGCACGAAAATAACCCTTTACCACCCTCCCTGATTATTCTTCAAAGAATACTATATGTACAATTCCAAAACGTTTGGCAGTTTATAGGATTTTGATCATTTTTTTTATTTAATTTTCTCGACTTTCATCTGTGCATTTACTTTCAGTAAAGTTGACTAGAAACTCTAAGAAGGTCAGAAGGGCATATAATTCAGTTACTTTTAATAATTGAGTTACATGGATTTCTCCTATATGGTAGTGCAAAAACAATATATTACAACTGGTCAGGGGTATTCATTTGACTGTGCAGTGTTATATAAATATGTTCAGACTGAATTGGACATTAAAAGTAATACGTTGTTGCTTGGAGAGTTCCATTCTCTTGGCATGTCAACGAATCCTTTCAACATCTCAGAAGAAATTTGTGTATTTGGCAAACAAACCTTTAAAATATCTTTGTTTTAACCCACTTTAGGTATCATTGATTTCTCACTATAAACAATCCAAAACCTTAAACTTAATTTGTTTCACTAAAATAATGTGACACTGAACATTAATTGGAAAGATATTCAATTTTCTTTCAAATGATATGAAATAAAGATAAATCATCCTAATGTCATAGCCAACAAGTTGTGAAACAAAGTTCTTTTATAATCAAATTAGTTCAAGATTTTATAAGAAACCCTTCAAATTGCACTAGCAAGATTCAGTTTGTTCTATTGACATAGATTTGAAGTAAAGTACAATAATATTTTTAGAACTGTGTCATAAATAAGAATGCATTATTATTATAGTTAAGGATATATATATATATAGACAACTTTAGTATTACTGCATATAACTTTGCAGACCAAAGTTAAACGCAAATTTTTCGTTTTTGTTTGTGTAAACTAGAGGATCAAATCCTTAATCACGGATCTATTACTCCTTTTATATATGACACACTGTCCATCTTTATAAAGCCTACTTAGTCTTATTAAGTTCTGTAGTAATTGGCACTTGCTGGGTAATAGCAGGATTTTTGCAAATATTTTTTTTAAACTGTCACTTGAGCAACAATCATGAAAACTGTATGTGGTCAGAATTTAAATTCAATCATTTTTTAGAAAATATTCAGTTCAAATCCATGTGATCAACCATTTTTGCAACTTGAACTTTAAAGCTAGCATTTTTTTTAATCAGAAAAGAATATTTAAGTTAAACCCTAACAATCATGTATTTAAATATACAATTTTCTAAGTAGATTATGCCAATGTATCACATGTATATCACATGCATAATTGTTCTCTCCACTATTTTTTAATTCTTATTTTCACCTGTGACATTTTTCAGTATTTAAATCTGTCAGGAAAAGGGAGAATTCAAAGACGCCTTCCAATACACTGCATCCGCATTAATTAGATAGTGCATTAAATCTACAGGAAATGAAAATTTCCATGTTTGACGCTAATTTTGCGTGATGTATCCAAGAGTATCGTAGGCAACAGTGACATCACAAATATTATCCCAACAGGATATTATCATTAACAATGAACAATATACTTATGATTAGAGAAACCTTAACAAGAAAATGTTAGATTCATTATGAAAATTAAATTTACCATACCAGGCAGAAGTACCAATTGAGTAAAATGGTGATGTTATTATTGGTTTTATAATATAAAAAATACATCCTCAGGAATTGATTCTTTCTAATTTAGTTTGTAAGATTTGCATTTTCAATTATAGAGGGAAATAAAAAAGAAATAGGAAGCAAATCTATGGTGCATTTAAGCGTCCTGTACTGAAAAAGTATTATCTCAACAGACATTTTAAGTTCCTTATAAAAACATCAGTTTCTTTAAATTGTTAGGTATATTACTCTGATTTTATATCAATTAACATTTGACCTTTCTATCCTTCCAGATCCAAAAAAACAATACTGTATGTGATGTAATATACTCGGTTCTGGTAAGATTTCTTTCTTCCTCCCAGATGTGACCGTCAGCTATTGGTAATTTTCTATTGATAATACAAGTGTTTTTTTCAATGAAGGGGGAGTTGTAGCCTTCTATATTTAAGTATCTTAATCAACTAGTAAATGTTAGTATTCTTAATTGAAATAAATGTCTATCATTTTATGCACATCTACATTTTGACTTAAAAATTTTTAGTTAGGGGGTACAAAATTGATAATTAATATCAAAATGAAGGCATTTAAAACTAAATAGTCACTTATGTCTAGACCCCCACAAAGTATAACTCAATATATTCTTTATTGACTACGATGATGAAATTCTGTTTTAATACACTTTTTCAAGCTACTTTTTAAAGCCAATCCAGACAAAGTTTATAAATGGTTTTGCTATTTTTGATAACATATTGTCTGGAAAAAATCAATCATCAAAAAATGTTTTCATTGATTTTTATTAAATGTGCTTATACAAAAACACAAATTTTTCTGTTAACAATGATATACACATTGTTGCATACAGCTAAATCCTATAACAGTGAAATCATTACATCATTCTCTTTATTTTAATAGTTTGAAACGATCAAATAATTATCAAAAGGGCAAACTATTGCCAATGCTTACCTAGCAGTTATGCATTGCAGTGCTCTCACCATAAAAAGATTTAGATAAAATGATGTTTGGGGTGAACTATACTATCAGCTTTGTGTTAAGGTTAACTTTACTATCAGTGTTAAACCTTATTTAGCATTTTTGTGTGGCTTTAAATTTATGAAAAAGTAGATTATTATAAATTGACTATTTTTTCATGAATTTTGTAAATGTGTTAGTGACTTCTTTTAAAATAAAAAATTACCAAGTTTAGTAAACATTGAAGAGATAAAACATCATTGATTTCAGATTTTAACTCTAATAATACAGGAAGAAGTGCAGATAAATGTTGCAGGCTTAATTTCAACTGCTTTTAAAATCTATAAGGGCCTGAAATGAAATGCAAAAGGACATTAAATATAAAATTTTCCATTATCAGGACCAATTCCTGCAGCATGATGTACATTTCTCAAATTTATACATTTATTATACTGACAGATTGGCAAGTTGATAAATATTCAGACAAGTAATGATGTTTCTTTGAATAATTATTTTGATATATTACATTAGGTTTAAAACATCAAATGATACCTTTTGTTTGTAAATCATCAGTTCATAAAAGTAATGTGCTAAAATGAAAGTTGTAATTCCTTCAGGCAAAGACGACCTTCTGTTTGGTTACTTTTGGTGCGCTTGAACTTCTGATATTTTTTGTTAATTAGTTTCTTTTCTAATCGATGGCACTTAGCACAATAACTTTTCTTGTAGAAAGTCGAATGTTTTGTTATTGTTGTGTTTGTATTCACCCTACATACTGCATAGTAAAACCAACGTCAAGTTTCCATACTGCTGTGAAATATTAATTTTTAAGTTAAATTAATCTTAAAGATTGAATTAATTTTTGGATGAATCTACTTTAATTCTCAATTTCAATTGATCTTACGTAATTTATTTATCATATACAAGGCAATTTTAAATGAAAAATTCAGAATACAATAAAAATAATAGGTAAATATATTGTCACTTTTCCCTATAATAATGGTGCCAAACATTTCTAAGCATATCAAAGTTTATGTTTGAACCACCAGGAAGCTGATAATTATGGCATATTTATCTAACAGGCCCACTGTTTTAGATGACATGTGTCTAGGTTACTATCTTTCTTTTAGTACTATGAAAAGAAAAGAGTTAAATTTAAGATTTGATTTAAATTAGCCAATGGTCCATTAAAACTATAGTACTTTGAAGTATGCTTAGTTACACCAGAGTGAAATCAGATGAATCAGAAAATAAAAAAACAATCTTGAGTTAAACTTGGGTTCTACCTATTCAGGTAAACCAATCTTTGTTGCATATTTGCATAATTAAACTTGTTGTGTGGTTGATGGTTCTACAGACAGTCAAATAAATGTGGAGAACCTTATCTTAATCTTGCTAAGATCTAGATTACATATTTTCACTTGATGGAAACAAATTCATAAAATTTCTTTCTGTTCAAAATCATACTGTAGGAGAATGCGCTCTCATAGAAAATTGCAGTCAATTTGTGAGTTTTTTTTAATTGAGGATTAAAATCCAAAATTGTGGAACTAACTAATACAAAAAACATCCCATAAAAAGCACATCTCTAAATGATAGTCTTTTACATCATCAACAGCAATTGTGAGGGGATTGCGATATTTTATAATTTCCCAAAATTTCAAACAACTGTCCCTGTCTGGATTTTTTTTTTTACTTTTTAGGTCAAAGTTTCCTTTCTATGTGGTAGTTAAAGCCATGATAGTCATTTGAGTAATAAACCATTAATGTTGAAGGGGATGAAAAGAAGCAAGTTCTTACATTTTAGAAATCCTAATAATTCTGAGATCTTTCTTTCATACGAATTCTATCTCTTATTCCATCAGAAAGAACATACTTTTCAAACTTCTTTCATGCAGTCTTGTGCAGATTGCAGAATGTTATGAAACTCTTACTCATAAATACGGGAGAAAAGTGAAGTATGATGCTATAAATAATCTTTTAGTGCACATGTTAAGTTGCAATATCTTTGTTAACTGTGGGGTGGATATCCAATAAACATTTGGAAATTTAAAACACAAATTTATCTTTTATAAAAAAAATCATTCAAACTTCAAAGAAATAAAAAGATAAATAGTGTTAATTGCTACCTTCTCATCGTGTTCATCAAATGGTTCCTCCTGTATACTGATCTTATTGACAGCCTGAGCTACACCAATTACCTTCCCTGAACAATCTTTTATAGGCATACTCAGTATACTCCTGGTCTTGTAACCCATCTTCATGTCTATTTCATTATTAAATCTTGGGTCCTGTAATTAAAAAAATGAACATTATATACTGTTTACAATTAATTAAGCTTTTCTGCATGTTTGGGGCTAACTATCACATTTCCATTCAGCAAACCATGAAATCTAGGTCAAATTCCTATTTCAACATATATTTTAAAAAAGTTAATATCATAATAACATTTGTACTTAGTTTCAATTGGATGTGCCAACAAATTCATGGTTAGATGCTTGTACTGTCAACCAAACACTTAACCATATAAGGGGTATGTGTGTAGACTAACAGAATAACAGACAGATACTAAGTCCTGAAACTAAATGGACCCCTACTATCATAGAGGGATAGAAATCTTTCATTCACAGATTTTGCCACAGGTAGGACAAAAATATCCTGTGTCAACAGACTGATACTATTTTGGTGTGTATGTCTCAATCAGCAAACTAAGGTTATATGTCCTCTGACAGGAAACTATAGTAATGATGCATGTTTACTTCAACAGCAAACTATTGTTATGTGTCCTCTGACAGCAGACTTTAACAGCAAACTATGGTAAGAACATATGTGTCCTAGTTAGGCAGATACAAGTGTGTTCTCTGTAAGAAAATATATTTGTGAGTCTACTTAAGTAAAAAAAAAAGTCAGCAAAGTTAATATAATTCCAACCTACCTACCCTATTTGTCTTAAGGAGAAAACCCTAACACACCTATTTTTGGTTTGGCCTTACATATAACATTATGAAACAAGACTTTTATTACTTTTGTACAAAAAATGTTGTGTAAGAAGGTGGTAGCATTTAAAAACATTACAGCCAAAAGATTATTCAATCGATGTTTAGAAAGTGTTACACGTTTTAATTTAGGAAAAAACAAAGTTTACAACTTTAATTTCTTACGACAATTCAGAACACATTTTACAGACACCTGTCTTATAATTGTTGAAGACAGTATTTTGCCCTCTAGATGTCCTTTAACTAAGTTGATGTTTGGTTGCTGTCTCATTGACATATACCCACATACGATCTCCTTATATGCATAAATAAGTTTATTTCAAGATGCACTTTCATTAAAATTATCATGCAGCTCATCATAATTTTAATCAAGCAAAACTTATATTTTCTTTCCAGTAGCAACCATCCTTAAAAAGTTTTGGAAAATTGATATTTCAAAAATGAGCCTCCTCATTGGGTTTTTGATTATGTGATTACATGGCCGTTTTTATAGTGATTATTTGATTACAAGACCAAATATTTCATGATTATTTGATTATTTGATAATCTAGGACTGTATTTTAAAATTTTTTTTGATTATTTGATTATCTTGTTTAAGAAAATAGTTAATGATTATGTATTAAAAATAAGATGTGGTATGATTGCCAATGAGACAACTCTCCACAAGAGACCAAATGACACAGAAATTAACAACTATAGGTCACCGTACGGCCTTCAACAAGACAGGACTTGATTATATTGGCAAAAAAATTTGTGATTATGTGATTACTTGGACATCCCCATGAGGGGCCTCAAAAACTGAGAAATAGAACATTACCATATAAAACACTGCCATGAAAGCAGATGAACAAAAAATTTGGTTGTGTTGTTGTTTGTATTGTATTTGAAGAAATGATTTTGTAACTTGGTAGCTTTATGTATAATAAATAACAATATTCTTTCAATATACATTGCACCTTGTGTTTAGTTCATTTATTATTACCTATTCTAGGATACAATGTTTAATATTAAGTATGTGTCTGATTATTCTAACCAAGGGGTCCTGTCTTATGTGATCATAAAATTCCATCTGTGACTAGAATTTTATAAAGAATGAATTCAAAAATAAATTAACCAGTCTAATGTGACCTTATTTTAGACTTTCCTTTTGAATATACTTGAGACAGGTTTGAATGTACCATAGATATGCAGTGCTTATTAATATGTTAATTGTATGGCACTAACAGTCTACAAATCCATCCCTAGATCATAGGTCATACTTTATTATGTATCTTCCGGTAAAAAAATCAAGGTTTTTGTCAATTGAACACTCACTCTGATCAATTCTAGACATTTTAACAATCAATCTAGTATATTCCTTATAACTTTTCATAATTACACTACATGTATGTTTCATTAGAATCTGTCATTTTGATTGGCTGACGACAATGGCAAGGCACTCCAATACCATATTTTATTTCCCTATAAAATACAACAGCTATGGCTGCATGTGCTATCCATGACAATGTTAAAACAATGCATAGAAAAACAAACGAAAACCTTGATTTAACTCTTAATTTCATGATTGTGTCATAAGAATGTAATTATAAGAATTGAATGCTTCTTTATATAATTTTATAGGGTTGTAAAAGCGTTGATCTTGCACACATATTTAGTATGAGGCGCTTCTTAGCTTCACAGAGGTTGAATAGTGGAATAGGTGAAAAGTCTATATTAACCATAAATGTAGCTCCATAAGGGGGCCCAGGGGTGCCCGGCCCCCCTTATGGAGCTACATTTATGGTTAATATAGACTTTTCACCTATTCCACTCCAAACTTTGTCTAGTTTGGGGGCTCCTGGGACCCCCTTTTTCAAAATCCTAGATCTGCATCTGCTTGATACAAAATGTGCTTTGGTCAACACTTTTACACCCCAATAAAGTTATAAAAAGAAGCATTCTCAAATAAACCAACAACTGAACCAAAGGTTTTACCAATTATGAATAATACTTGCAAAGACATAAATGAGGATTTACCTTCACAATCTCCAAACTAAAAAATAGATGAAGAACAATTTAATGTTTAGGTGTATCATCAAATCAAAAAGTGGGTACAAGTCAATCAGAATGTTTACTTCCATAACAAATTTTGCATTATAAATAATTGGTTGTTCTAAAGATTTGCAATTTTCTACATTCGAGGACACTGGTCAATGAAGCAGGATGCAAGAAAATACGTGAATATAAGAACCTGATTATTATCTCAGAACATAACTGATAATCACCCTCACTTAACTGTTCGCCTGCAGTAAAAGGAACACAATTTAATATACAAAGCTCCATCTTATACGCTTCCATAACAAGTCAATTACATTAAGTTACTTATAAGACAATGTTAATGGGAAAGCATGAGCTGAAAATATTGTTTTCTGTCTGGTATTATTCCTGTAATTTACAGAAGGTGCCAAAATGAATTTGTATAATGGATCAACGAGTTTCTCTTTAGATGGTAAGAGCTGTCTCATTTTGGATAGAAGTGGAAACTATCAAATACATATTCATAAATGAATATTGATGAAATATACATCTAAATAGGAGACTGAATTAGAAGACTGGGTTTGAAAATCTTTACTTAGATTAAATATTGTATTTTGTATACCGATAAGAAAATAAACCAAACTAAAGTTAAGGGAAAATACTGTCAAATTATAATGGAGGATATGTAAAATGATGCTGGAATTTGTTGTCCAAAATTCTGAAATGAAAACCAAGAATCGACACTTGAAGAACTCTTGTAATCGTGAACTCTTAACCAGGTTGGGAACAACCCCTCAAATGAGGGGTAACCCCTCTATGTAATGACTATCCCTTTTATGAGAGGTACATTTCTGATTCAAGTGATAAAAAATATTTTTTTGTAAAAACCACTTTTTAGTACAAATGAGCACATATTTATATTATTTGAGGAAACTTTTCTCAAAGAACTATACATCTATCTTGTATTATATGGTCAAAACATGTCCAAGAATTTTGTAATATTCCTGGACTTATATCTTCTTTATTATTAAAAATGATTGGACCCCTCTTTTAGAAAAGCTGTTCCAAATATAATGAGTTTTCCCCCTTTCAAGTTAAAAAATCAAAGTTTTTCTTTTTTCTTTTCTACAACAGTAAAATGACCCCTTGTCTGAGGGACAGTCCCTCATTTAAAGGATATCCCTCATTCGGGGGGGTTGTTCCCAACCTGTTAACGACCTGTTACACTATTACAAGACAAAATGTGTGTTCCTATCAATCATACCCTCATTACAAATTTCCGCCCTTCATCCAGGTCGACCTACATTTCAAAACCTGCCTATTGAATTTGTTATTCATTTGTTCTCATCATGAACACGCATGGAATATTTGCCACTGAACGATTAAAATTTGTAATTTGCCTTTATGTTTTACAATGTCGGAATAAGAAAGGCGGGATTCCGTACTACTTGGAGCTTCAAGGGAATCGGAGAACCTAGACAGAATTTAAAAGTGATGATGTAAAAAGTAGGACGGCATAGAGGTTGTTCTCATCAGGGACAGTCTATACTAACTAGTATAGACTGTCCCTGTTCTCATACAACTCCCTTGGTAGAAGTAAAAGGGAACGGTGCAGTTAAGAAGCTAACAAGAATGACTATAATATGAATTATAACATGTCTATTCAGTACTTAATAGATTTTCAATACTAAGTTAGAAACAAAAGTTAAAACACGGGATAGTCTCATCTGACACGCAAAGAAGTAGATATTTTATTCAATGTAATAAAGATGTGTGCAAGTTATTAAAATCCTTCGCTGAAATAAACCAAGCAAATAGCCTTTAGGTCTCGATTTTCTTGTCGTCAAACATCTGAGATCACATGAAATATATTAACTTCATGCTTTGAACATTTTTCCAATTGTGTTGATATTTCCGTAGTAAGGAACACGTTGTGAAATCTTATACATCAACAATTCTTTACTCGTTTTTAATAAAAAAAAATTCACTATTTACTGAAAACCAGGGAACTTCACAAATATTCATGAATTTTATAAAAGATCAAAGAGGCAACTTCATTAGAAATCTACAGATTTTGTAAAAATTCGATTTTCCTGTTTATTAACGGTAAAGAATGCTACATGAATCACTATACTGTCGTAGCTTCATTACGATTCTCCCTTTCATACGTTTATTTACGGATCGCTTAATTTTTTCCTTAGTTTAAATTAATCTGGAAGAAATCATTCGGATTTTCCCCTTCTCATTATATCGTAATCAAGAAGCTCATCTATAGCAGC